GAGTCCCAACAAGAGGGCTCACTTTATTTGGAAAGTAATTAACTTAACTAAAATAAACAAGAAGGGCCTCTCTTGGGCTAGTGACCCTGGGTTTCAAAGTCATATTCCTTGTTTCAAATCTGTCTAGTCCTGCTTAAAGTTTGGTACTACTAAGTAATCAATGTCAGGTGCTGAGGATGAGTCAGGATCCTGCCACTGGCTGGAACGCACCAAAGTTGTTCCAGGAATTTCTAGATTAGTTAATACTTCCTCAGTCAGAGGAGACAGGGCCAACCCTACACCACTGCACTTCTGGTGACAGCACTCCTGTCTAAGACAAGGCTGACAGACAAACTATTGCTACTTTGATTTTCCATCCCCACTACAACCTTGAAAATGGTAAAGATTTATGCTAGCCAGGAGGTAAGACACAGTTGGCCAATTTCCAGCTGGGTAATATTCTACTGTGGGAGCCAAACTAATTAACTCAAGTCACAAGTCAAACTACCTCCTTTTGCTGTTTATTCAGAACAACAGGCTGCCGCATACCAAAGACCTTATCATACCTAGGTGTTACAGCCCAAATCCTGACCTCCTCCCCTTTGTCCCACTAGCCCCCTTAAGCACTCAGCCCATATCCTGACCCCTCCCCTTTCTGCACTCACCCCTCTACTCTGCACTCATCCCACTTGCGACCCCCTCCCCTTTTTGCACTTGCCACTCTATTCTGCACACACCCCACTTGTGACCTTTATCCCTTCCTTCTCATTTGCTCACCTGAGACAAAGAAGACTCATCCCTGAGCCAATCAACCCTGAACACAACCACCCTGTACCTGTCAGTTTAGGACAGACGTGGTTTACCTACCAATAAGGGGATGGGGTGGGATGGTCTAATGGGAAGGAAGAGGGAGAGGTATAAAGAGACTTTCTGGATAGTCTGTAAGGGCTGTTCCCACTTTTTCTTAAAGGGCAGCCCAGGCTCTGAGCTTGAATGAATAAAACTCCTCGTGCCTTTGCAGCGATGTTCAGACTCTCAGAGTGATGCTTGAATTGAGTCTGGGGTTTAACACTACTTTGTAGAGACATTTTTGTGAGGTTTTTCTTTACCTATGAAACACCAAAACAGTTTGTAGTACATAATAAGCACTAAAAGAATGCTACCTAATATTATTATTATTAGCCCACCATAATTTATCTCACCTTCCTACCTTAATGTCTCACTCCCTATCATGTTATCTATTTTCCAAAGGGATATGCTACCCTTAGCAACATTTTCCATTTCAGTAAGAACACTATGCAAAGAAAATGGTACATTTCCTCTAACTCACAATATAAAACAAGACAAAAGGCCTTAGTCAAAGGATCCATAATTTAAAGGGGAATATAGAAAAAATAAATATCAGGCTTATATATTTTTCAAGTCCCAAATATATTATTAAATGAGGTAAGGAAGAGTAAGAAAACTGGTTATAATTAGACAGTTTTATAAGCATGAAAATATACCTCTTTTTGAAAGCACATAGATCTGTAAGGCTAAACAGTCTATCTATGCTCTATTTACAATGTGCTGGCTCCAATTGTGAAAATGTGGTAAGAAATGGCTCCAATCCTCAGTTTCACAACTAATTATTATGTCCTCTCCTTAAGTAATGTTAAATAGTCAAAACAGTTTGACTTAACAAGCACAAGACAGAAAAGAATACCATGTATCATAGTTCTTTGTTCAATTTGTTAAAAATTTTGAACTTGAAAATTAAAATCTTGATCGGAAACATGCTTCTTTATGCACTGTCATTTTAGGACTAGTTATTTGGATTTGATCTGAATATTATTATAGAAAACAAATAACAGCTTTGTGCAAATGAAATCAATGAATATTCCATGGCCTAATTTTATATGAAAATGTCTCCTAGTTTATGGAAGTTTTCTGTTTTCCTATTCTATGCATGTTTTAACCATCCATGAAACTGGTTTAGTATTTAGGAATTTTATATTTCTGGTATATCTATTAGTAGTTATTTTTTAAATTTCTATTAATTGTATTCAATTCAAATTGCCAAAGACAAAAATACATGTGAAGCTTTCAGTTATTTTAGTTTTTAAGTAATAGCAATCTAATTAGATAAAACAAGCACTTCTAGGCAACACTGGCTCATCATAACATTTCAGAAAAACAAAAAAACCCAAACTGAAAATAGAATGTCACTCTATGAGATTCTTACACGGTTATTAAAAACAAACTATGTAAGATTCAGCACAAATAAAGTACAACCCATACTCTCTCTTTTGGACTCCTCAGCATTCTATGAGTTCATCAGTGCTTCATTTTTGTTTTCTCAAATATCAATCAACTTGACAAATTGTGACCAGAAATTCTTCTATACAAAGGAAATTGTACAGCATTTATTTGCATAGTCATGTTCCCACATAATGACATTTTGGTGAACGATGGACCATTTCAACAAAGGTGGTTCCATAAGATTATAATACTATATTTTTACTATAACTTTTCTATATTTAGATATGCTTTGATACATAAATATTTATCATTGTGTTATAATTACCTACAACAGTATTCAGTATAATACCATACTCTACAGGTTTTAGTAGCCCAGAAGCAATAGGCTTTAACATATATATTGCTAGATAGTACAGCAATAGGCAGTATCTGCAATCCCCAACCCCTGGACAAGGAGTGCTTTGCAGCATGTCAGGAACCAGGCCATATCACAGCCTGAGTGCCACCTTTCCTTCCCCTGGCCCCTATCTGTGGAAAAACTGTCTTCCATGAAACTTAGGAACTTGCAGCAGAGCAGGAGGTGAACAGCGCAAGCAAGAAGCTTCATTTGTATTTGTAGCTGCTCCCCATTTCTTGCATCATCTCCTAAGCTCCATCTCCCCCCACTCACTCCTTCTACGAAAAAACTGTCTTCCATGAAACTGGTCCCTGGTGTCAAAGAGACTGGGGACTCCTGTCCTTTATGGTATATAGTGTAGTAGACTATACCATCTAGTTTTGTGTAAATATGCTCTATGATGTTCATCTAAGTTTGTGTAAGGACACTATGATGTTTACATAATGGGGAAACTGCCTAATGACTACAATTCTCAGAATATAAGAACATCATTAAGCAACACGTGGTCTCAATTTGAACAAATTACTAAGAGAGATAGTCAGATGTTCCCTGAAAAGTTCAATATAATGAAGAGTATTAGAAAAATTGATATCTAGTAGCTATAAGTCATTAGTATCTCTAATATGTCTGCAAATTCCTACTGAGCCAAATTCCCTACACAAATAGGATATTTTTACAAAGTGCCTTGTCTGGTTTTTTACAGCATTTTATTTCAAAAGCATTTTATGAGAACTCTGCTACATATCTTGACTTCCCACCTGGTTCATATTTAACAGTGTATCCCACCCTGTTCCTTTTTAGGCTCCAAAACCAGATGTCTCCAATATCGCATAAATGTGGCATGTCACAGTATTTTAGTCAACTTCTTTTACTTCACTTGTAGTTAGGTAAACTTGAGCTATTCGTAACCCTTTATTGCCATCTCAACTCAGAAACAGTACGACTGGCGACTAGGGCACTATCTCCTAATGATAATTTCCTAGTGACGACGTACACTCCAAAGAGACAGCTCTACTTAGGAAGAAAGATAGCAGCATGCTTCCTATTATATTTAATACTGATACTTAAAAGTTGCTTTCTCCCTTCACTGTAATTATCACCAAAATTTTTAAAATCAATAAATACATCAGGAAGCTATGCGCAGCTGGGCTCTACAGTCAGAAGTTACAGAACCGGGGCCGGATTTAAGAAAAGCTATGCGGCAGGTGTGTGTGTTACAAGTGACACACCTCTTTGGAATGGGACACAACTATAACAGTGACTACCTAACAAATGCAATCAGTGTAACCTGGTTCTCTGTAAGCTCAATGAATCCCCCCCCCCGACTCCTCAAAAAAGCTATGCACAAAGTACATGAATTACATTATCCAACATGAAGTACGTGGAGTATATATTACTTAAAAGATTTCTACACATTAGTATGGGAAACAAAATAATATACCTATAAACCGTTCTGAGATATAGATATACACATATACTTGTTTGAAGTAACATCATAGATAATCCTCCTTGGATTTGGTACCGAAACTTTTTTTTTTTATTGAATGGTAACTGTGTACATTCATGATTAATGCACTTCTGGGGTACAGTGTGGTGTTTTCACACACAATCCAAAACACTTCCATCAAACTGGTTAACATAGCCTTCATGTCATTTTCTTAGTTATTGTGTTAAAACGTTCATATTCTACTCATAGAAAGATTCACTTGTACCCTTGTAAGATAAACCACAGAAGTGAACCTTCCAATACCCCTCCCTCCACCCATTCCCTCCTCCCCTCTCCCTCCCGAAACTCTTAATACTAATTTATATTCTATTCTATCTTAACAGTTTATTCCAGAGAATTCTAAAATCTGAATTAAGATCTTTTATTATAATTGTGTTCTACTACAGGAAATAACTATAGTCAATCCACCTTTATTCGGTTTTAATTATTATATGTATACGTATATAACAACCTTAATTTTCATAGCTAGTATTAAGAAATCTCCGTTGATAATAAACTACAAAAATGAACTCAAGGGTGGCGCCTGTGGCTCAAAGGAATAGGGCACTGGCTCCATATGCCAGAGGTGGCAGGTTCAAACCCAGTCCCAACCAAAAAACTGCAAAAAAAAAAAAAAAAAAAAATGAACTCAAATTCCCCAAACAGAAATCAATGTGTTTTTATTAGTTATATATAGAAGTTTTAGGAAGTGACTACATATAATAATTAATGGATTATAAAAGAAAAAATTACACGAATTGAAAAACGTTTTCCTTCAGGCCAAATGAATATTAATTCATTAATATTAAGATATTAAGATAAAATTTACATAAGAAATGCTATTTATACAATAATCATTATTATTATGTACTGGCAGTGCTGTTAAGTATTTCTTACCTGCCCCTTTCAACTGCTAGGGCATCCAGTTCATCAAAGAAAATAATGGAAGGAGCCACGGCTCTTGCTTTTCGGAAGATCTGGTGGGAAAAGTACACATTAGCTAAAAATAAGTAAACTCCAGAAAATTTTGTAGCTGCATTTAGTTTGAAAATTGTACTGAGAACCAAATCTATTACGGACAAGTCAACCAGCCCAATTATTCTGTATAATGCCCAAGACTTTATAATAGACGTAAAAAGTATCTTCTTCCACTTACACAGACAAGCCCACCAATACATATTTGTACAGGTGTAAAGAAGGCAATTCAGTTAAGCAATCAGACAATCTCAGTTAAAATCTCACCTCCACCACAGAGTAGCTGTGGGACTTTGAACAGGTGACTTTATCTCTCTAAACCTCAGTTTCTAATCTATAAAATGGAAAATGGCCTATCTCAGAAGATTAAGAACTGAATAATAAAAGAATACAAATCATTTGGCACAATGTTTAGAACATAGTAAGAGCTCAATAAAAGACTGGCATTATTAACTATTAAAAACATATGTTTAAAGGAAAAACATAAATGTGTAAAATGAGCCAGAGACTTGCATATAAAATACCCATATACCCAAAAGCCACAAGCCTTACTTATTTCTTTGAAGACTACATGAGAAAGCAATGGTTGATATAAAGCCAGAACAAGAAAAATGGTCAAAAGGTGGAAGACCATAGGTTGGCTGGAGCAGAAGCCAACCAAACTACCAACATCAGAGACTGGCTGATAGCTGTGGCAGGCCTGTGGAAACGAGCTAGAAAAAGGCAGCATAAGCAGAAAGAAATCTGTATGTGTCTTATAACCTAGACCCCCATTTTGTGGTCACAAGTAGTATGACCATATAACTACTACAGTAAATACTGCCTTTTTCACGCTGTTATTATGAATTAATATTTTACCAAAAGTCCCCAACCTCTTTGGCACCAGGGACCAATTTCACATAAGACAAATTTTTCAGGAATGAGAGGTTGGGTGGGATGTGAGCAGAGCTCAGGCAGTGATGCCAATTATAGGGAGCAGCTGGCTGGGGGCTGTAAATACAGATAAAGCTGTTTCACTGAATCTTCACTGAATCACCACTGCTCACCCCCTGCTGTGTGTCAGGTTCCTAAATTTCATGGAATACAGTTTTTCAGAGGGGAAGAGCAGGTGGGTGGGGATAGGCAGAGCTCTGATGCCAAGCTCCTAACAGGCTGCAGTTAATATGATTACCATTATCTACAATTTTAAGGGGAAAAAAATAGGGAAAAAGTCATTTAAATTGTTTTCTTATGGCAAAGTATTCCAATCCTTAATCTCCTCACTAGTACTTCAAAAATAAGGACTATGCCTTCCACACTTGTTTGTGTGTTCTTGCTCTTACTCAGTAGCTGTGAGGACACAGGGTCCTTGTGTGAGGGACCTCAATACTTGCTAAAGAAAGATGTGGACAAACTGCTGGCTCCAGTTGCCTTGGCTCTGCATGTATGTACTCACTGAGTGTGTCCCTCTGTATGAAGGAGTGCCACAATCAGGCAACTGGCTTTAAAGTCCTGGCTTTAAAACTTAAGAGATGAAAAAAGATGCTTTTTCTAATCACTAAGAGGTCAAAGAAGTAAAACAAGAAAAACAAGAATAACAAGAATAGTATAGTGAAATTATCATATGCTAAGCTTATTCAATTTAAAGGTTTATAGTTATCTCATTTAAAGGATCTAAATCCCATTCTGGGATTAAGTGTTCTCCTTTGTAGATACTCACAAATCAGTTAAAAAAAAAAACAAAAAAAACCCAGAAATGCTGGTAGATTTTTAAAAAATAAAGGCTGGTAATATGATGTTTAAAAATAAAAAGTATTACAAAGTATTACACGCCCAGGCACAGTGGCTCATGTCTGTAATCCTAGCACTATGGAAGGCCATAGTGGGTGGACTGCCTACACTCACGGGTTCGAGACTAGTCTGAACAAGAGCCAGACACCGTCTCTGAAAATAGCTGGGTGCTGTGATGGGCGACTGTAGTCCCAGCTACTTGGGAGGCTGAGGCAAGAGAATCGCTTGAGCCCACTGAAGTTGCTGTGAGCTATGACGCCATAGCACTCTACCGAGGGAGACAAAGTGAGACTATCTCAAAAAAGAAAAACAAAACAAAGTATTACAGATAGTCAACATTGTATTTTCAAATAATAAGATAATATTGGCCTGAAAAAAATATATACCACTAGAATTTGGATTTGGAAATTTCCAAGTCTGTTACCCAGAACAAAATGGCAATGACAGGGTTCTCCTAGGCAAAGTGCCACTTAAAGCATAATCTTCTTACCTCTCTAACTGCTCTTTCAGATTCGCCAACATATTTATTCATTAACTCAGGCCCCTGTGTGAAAAAAAAACAACAACTACTATTCAGTGTCTTTATAAATGCAACCATGTATATTTTTTTCAATGTAAGAGAAAAAATACACAGAAGAGAGAAAAGCAATAAAAATCTGTTTTAATTAAATTAGTTCCTTTAGCATGCTCACTTTCACTGGATGTTATCTATGCCTCAAAATTTAAAGCCATTCTATATTCCAAAAACTACACAGCAATACCAAGGAAAGCTTTGACTAAACATAATATTTTAACACCTTTAGACATCTGGTATACCTCCCTCAATATTTTTATAATATGTCAGGCATAGTGCTAGGCACAAATGATAGAAAGCCTGGTTTGGAAGACCAACGAAAAGTTAACATCCATTCCCAGGCCTAACCAATGGCTGGTTCTGATCTGGTCTACTTATCAGATTCAAAGATACATATGTTTTTGACATTAACATTTCTGAATTTTAATATTTTTCTTTCTCAAGTACCTAAAATGTTGGATACATAGTATTTTAAGAGAAATGGTAGACTTTCTTTTTTACCACATACCCATTTTCTCAGGATGCACAGTCACTCCAAGGAGCTATGGAATATTTAAAAAAATGAACACTGTCCCTAGAACCACAACTATTTCCTCCAGAGACTGACGTGAAGTTTCTTCCTTAATACTCAGCCACGAGGACTCTTCCCTCAGTGTACTAATTGTTCCTTCTAGTATTTAGCTATGTTGACACTTCCCCATACAACCTCAAATCCCATGAATGTGTGTGTGTATGTGTGTGTGTACACACTGCCTTTTCTTCTTTGCAGATGCACAAACACAATACACACATACATACTTACTTCACACAAGATTTGTATTCTATTCCATGCAGATCTTTGGTCCAGACAATTCAGGGGCTATTACTAGACATAGGCTTGAGTATTTTCAGAACAACTGAGATCAATTTTTAAAAATCTGAGTGATTCAGACACATAGGCAAACCCTAACAGAATGTCAATCAATCCCACAAATTGGTATAGTCTGTGTTCAGCTTCACTTGAAACATATTAGAAGGCAAATTAGCATACAGTACAACAAATACTATGACAGAATTATGTACAGGTACCATTAAAACATTTAGCAGAAACTCCTGAGTCAAGGCGTGGTCGTTCCTAGAGAAAGTAACATTTCAGGTGAGTCCTCAGTTAGTTTATTTATTCCATATGCTCAAAAACATTAAAGATTCAGGAAGAAATCAAAAAGGTTTCTGATGATCAAAAATAAATACTACTAATAAATAAATAAATAAACACTCCTATATGCACTTTAACTGTAGAAGAGCTCTTAATGTCTTTAGTCAGTTCATTGACTTTTAAATTATACACAAAGCTAACACACTTGAGTAGAACTGATATAAGAATTTAGTACAGGTAAAGCATAGAATACAGGAAGATTGCAGCAATCAGTAAAGCTAAAGTGGGAAACTGGGTGTACAACAAAACAAGTTTAGATTTTACCCTGTAAGCAATAGGAAGGGTTTTAGGAAAGGTAACTGATAATAAGGATTTTACTGAAAGATGATTCTGACCACAAAATAAAAGATGGTTTGGAAGGACATGTGGCCAGAAGTAGAGAGACCAGTTATAAAATGATTAAAACACTGAAGGTGAGAAATGATGAGAAATAGGATTAAGGCAAAACAGTGCAATGGAAATGAGAATTTTCATTCCACAAAAACTATCAAAAATATAAAAATCAATTCAATTTGTTCCAGGTACAAAGACGTACCTGGAAGGCAAGCACCCCAGTAAGCTGAAACCAGGCTCTCCAGCCTGTGAAGGTAAGAATTCAAATTTGACTTGATAGTACTATTTTTGATGTTCACGATAATGATTTAATTCATCAAAGAAAAAAAGGGTGCTCAATATATTCAGTGTAGCAATTCTCACAAATAGGTAGTTCACAAAGGACTCAACTATAACTCAGATTTTAGCTTACAAATGCAAACAATGTAACCTAATCATATGTACCCTCATATTAACCTGAAATAATAACACAAAAGTGCTGTCACCAAGATGGCTGATTAGCAGGTAATCCATTCATATTCCCCTAATAACAACAAGAAGCCTGCACTCATGCGTAGTCAGAAGTCTCTCCACAGGAGCCTCTGAATTCATGCAGGATTTTGTGAAAATCCAATGGAGCAAGACATGGAAGTGTTGTTTTGAGAGTGTAGACCAACACCCAGTTGGCTGATCTGCCCTGCAGAGCTTGCTTCTGGGTCCAAGCCCAGCAACAGCCCAGTCCTCCATGCTTGGCTTGGCTACAGATACATTTGGCCTTAAGCCTGCAACCAAAACCATCTGCCAAGAGATCCAGAAGGAATCGCACATATTAGTGCTTCAGCTGAAATGCTTACATTGGTCTCAGAAGTGAACATGAGAGTTCACCGTGGCACAGATCCAGGATTCCCCAATTGAGTGAGATCCTTGCTCAGAGATGCTTGCAAAAGGACCCAGAGGGAGTGATATGGTTTGAATATTTGGCCCCTCCAAATCCCATGTGGAGTTGGAAGCCTGGTGGGAGGTGTTTGGGTCATGGGAGATCTCTCATGAATGGCTTGGTGCCTTCCCCATGATAACAAATGAGTTCCCACTTTATTATTAATAGTTTACACAACAGTTGGTTGTTTAAAAGAGCCTGGCACTACCTCTTCCCTCTTTTGCTTTGTCCCTGACCATGAAACATGTCTACTCCCACTTCACCTTCCACCCTGACTAGAAGCTCCCTAAAACCCTCACCAAGAGCGCATACTGATACCATGCTTGTACCGGCTGCAGAACTGTAAGCTAAATAAAGCTTTTTTCTTCACAACTTACCCAGCCTCAGATACTTCCTTTATAGCAACGCAGAACGAGTTAACACAGGGAGCCATATTTAGCAGCCCCTGAGTTTGAGCCTTCCTGACAGGCTTGTCAACCTCCTTCTACAACAGAAATCAGGTAGGCCCAATTTCAGCTCTGGTACCTCTTACTACAGTTGGAAAACTATCCCATCTGTACTGAGACCTCCTATCAGATGCATGCCATTCTCCAGCCTCCGTGTCACAGCATAGTCTGAGGGGGTCAGTCTCAGCGACAACCTCTCCAGCTGAAGTAGAGGAACTATCCCATCTATGCAGCATCCTCCTAGAAAGCAGGCACCCCAGTAAGCTGAAAAAAGGCTCTCTAGCCTCTGTCAAACAGCAGGTCTACTCTTAGGTCCAGCCCTTCCCACTGCAGTAAAAGAACTATTTTATCTGTGCAGGGATATGCTGAGACCACATGCCCCTCTGAGCAAATCAGACCAGCCCACTAGCCTCCTCTCTACAGCAGACCCCAAAGCAGCTCAGCCTCAATTCCAGTTACTCTTGTGCAGAGATGTGCTAAAAGTAAAAAGCATACTCATCTGAGCCACTTGGACAATCTTCTGAACTCAGATCCCTGGCCAGTGTTTCCACAAGCCCCTGGGGCAGTGGTTCTCAAACTGTGGGTCACAGAGGAACGGTATTAAAGGGCCATGGCATTAGGAAAATTGAGAACCACTGCCCTAGGGTCTTCCCAGGTCCATGTGAACCAAAAAGCTGCATTAAACTCAGGCTTAGAGTATCTTCATATGCTGAGTTTGCTCAGTGGTCACAGGTTCTGGAAACACAGCAGTCAGTTGGCTTTGAATCCCTGGGAAATCCACTGAAGAATGACAGGCACAAACAAAGCTAGACTATAAAGACTACAAAAACTAAAATAAATACCTAATCCATCAAAGTGTACTTGTCACACTTCCACAAGCTTCAGGAATATTCAAGGAAATATGATCTCAACAAACAGATAAAATGAGGTATTAGTGACCAACATTAAAATAATGGGTAAGTGTGATCTCTCAGATAAAGAATTAAAAATAGTTGTTTTAAGAAAACTCAATGAAAATCAAGAAAACAGAGAATCAATTCAGAAATTTATCAAGGAAATTAAACAGAAAAATTGAAATAATAAAGAAACAAACAGAAAAGCTGGAGCTGAAAAATTTATATATAATGAATAAAATGAAAAATGGAATGGAGAGGCTTAGCACCTATGGCTCAAGTGGCTAAGGCGCCAGCCACATACATCTAAGGTGGTGGGTTTGAATCCAGTCTGGGCCCGCCAAACAACAATGATGGCTGCAACCAAAAACAAATAGCCAGGCATTGTGGCAGGCGTCTGTGGTCCCAGCTACTTGGGAGGCTGAGGCAGGAGACTCTCTTAAGCCCAGGAGTTGGAGGTTGCTGTGAGCTGTGATGCCACAGCACTCTACCCAGGGGGACAGCTTGAGGCT